AAGGTGGAACAGAGTGTTAAAATGTCAGACTGAACCAGGACTGAACCAGGACTAAACCAGGACTAAACCAGGACTGAACCAGGACTGAACCAGGACTAAACCAGGACTGAACCAAGACTGAACCAGGACTAAAACTGGACTAAAACAGGACTAAACCAGGACTGAACCAGGACTGAACCAGGTCTAAACCAGGACTGAACCAGGTCTAAACCAGGACTAAACCAGGACTAAACCAGGACTAAACCAGGACTAAACCAGGACTGAACCAGGACTGAACCAGGACTAAACCAGGACTAAACCAGGACTGAACCAGGACTAAACCAGGACTAAACCAGGACTAAACCAAGACTGAACCAGGACTAAACCAGGACTGAACCAAGACTGAACCAGGACTAAACTAGGACTGAACCAAGACTAAACAAGGTCTAAACCAGGACTAAACCAGAAATAAACTAGGACTAAACCAGGACTAAACCAGGACTGAACCAGGACTAAACCAGAGCTAAAGCAGGACTAAACCAGGACTAAACCAGGTCTGAACCAGGACTAAACCAGGACTAAACCAGGTCTAAACCAGGTCTGAACCAGGACTGAAACCAGGACTAAACCAGGTCTGAACCAGGACTAAACCAGGACTGAACCAGGACTAAACCAGGACTAAACCAGGACTAAACCAGGTCTAAACCAGGTCTGAACCAGGACTGAACCAGGACTAAACCAGGACTGAACCAGGACTAACCAGGACTAAACCAGGTCTAAACCAGGACTGAACCAGGACTAAACCAGGACTAAACCAGGTCTAAACCAGGTCTGAACCAGGACTGAACCAGGACTAAACCAGGACTGAACCAGGACTAAACCAGGACTAAACCAGGACTAAACCAGGTCTAAACCAGGTCTAAACCAGGACTAAACCAGGTCTGAACCAGGACTAAACCAGGTCTAAACCAGGTCTGAACCAGGATTAAACCAGGACTGAACCAGGACTGAGACCAGGACCAGACCAGGACTGAGACAGGGACTGAGACCGGGACCAGACCAGAACTAAGACCAGAAATGAGACTGGAACTGAGACTGGGACCAAGACCAGAACTAAGACCAGGACTAAGACCGGGACCAGACCAGAACTAAGACCAGGACTGAGACCAGGACCAGACCGGGACCAGACCGTTAGAGTCCCGTATTAGTCTAAGATCACGTTTATAATCACGTAAATAAATCGTAATTATAAAATAGAGAAGTGAAACGGCGCTGGACGAGCCGTAAATCTTTAAAATGAGTTTTATTTCGACGGCAGCTTTGACACTTTGACTTATAATCTTTTTTTTTTTTTTATGTGTATTTTCCAGTAGCTTTAGGCGTTTATTTTACGATTGGGCTTTGTTCTTTCACACCTATTTTTCTGGGAAGTTATTTGATTACGGAGAAATTAGAATCGTTAAGGTGTCGTTATGTTGTTTTTAAAGTCGTATTTGAACTTTAGGTGATATTTGTTAATTTATTTGTGGTAAATTTATCAAGATTGAATCAGTATTTTTAGTATTTCGAGTAAAAATTTTAAACTGTGAAGATGCTGAACTTTTATATGGATGAATATGGACTAAACCAGGACTAAACCAGGACTAAAACAGGACTAAAACAGGACTAAAACAGGACTAAAAAACAGGACTGAACCAGGACTGAACCAGGACTAAACCAGGACTAACTAGGACTAAAACAGGACTAAACCAGGACTAAAACAGGACTAAACCAGGACTAAAACCAGGACTAAAACCAGGACTAAAACAGGACTAAAACAGGACTAAACCAGGACTAAACCAGGACTAAAACAGGACTAAACCAGACTAAACCAGGACTAAAACCAGGACTAAAACAGGAGGACTAAACCAGGACTAAACCAGGACTAAACCAGGACTAAAACAGGACTAAAACAGGACTAAACCAGGACTAAAACCAGGACTAAAACAGGACTAAAACAGGACTAAAACAGGACTAAAACAGGACTAAAACAGGACTAAAACAGGACTAAAACAGGACTAAACCAGGACTAAACCAGGACTAAAACAGGACTAAAACAGGACTAAAACAGGACTAAACCAGGACTAAACCAGGACTAAAACAGGACTAAACCAGGACTAAACCAGGACTAAAACAGGACTAAACCAGGACTAAAACAGGACTAAACCAGGACTGAACCAGGACTAAAACAGGACTAAAACAGGACTAAACCAGGACTAAAACAGGACTAAACCAGGACTGAACCAGGACTAAAACAGGACTAAACCAGGACTGAACCAGGACTAAAACAGGACTAAACCAGGACTAAACCAGGACTAAAACAGGACTGAACCAGGACTAAACCAGGACTGAACCAGGACTAAAACAGGACTAAAACAGGACTAAACCAGGACTAAACCAGGACTAAAACAGGACTAAACCAGGACTAAAACAGGACTAAACCAGGACTAAAACAGGACTAAACCAGGACTAAAACAGGACTAAAACAGGACTAAAACAGGACTAAAACAGGACTAAAACAGGACTAAACCAGGACTAAAACAGGACTAAAACAGGACTAAACCAGGACTAAAACAGGACTAAACCAGGACTAAACAGGACTAAAACAGGACTAAAACAGGACTAAACCAGGACTAAACAGGACTGAACCAGGACTAAACCAGAACTGAACCAGGACTAAAACAGGATTGAACCAGGACTAAAACAGGACTAAACCAGGACTAAAGCAGGACTGAACCAGGACTAAACCAGGACTAAACCAGGACTGAACCAGGACTAAACCAGGACTGAACCAGGACTAAACCAGGTCTGAACCAGGATTAAACCGGGACTGAACCAGGTCTAAAGCAGGACTAAACCAGGACTGAACCAGGATTAAACCAGGATTAAACCAGGACTGAACCAGGACTAAACCAAAATAAATAAATAAATAAATAAATACACCATGTACAGTTTTAGGATTATTTGATCATGTTTGCAGTTACAGTATCTTAATATTTACAGTTATATCATTTGGCCAATAGGTTTTCTTAAAAAGGGTGTTTTTTTGGGCCCTGAGACCAAACGGGGCCGAGTTGGGGTTGGTCCCTGTCGACTCGTGATGGTCAAAAATATAAGATAACAGGAAATAATAGTGAAAAAAAGGAAGCAAAAAACATAAAAACATCCTGAGGCCATTAAAAGATCAAAGGTACAAATTAAAATTCATGTTATGTTACTCAGAGGTGAGACCAAGTCGTTGTTTTGCAAGTCTCAAGTAAGTCTCAAGTCCGAGTCAAGTCTCAAGTCAAATACAGGCAAGTCCAAGTCGAGTCTCGAGTCACTGGCCCATAAGTCCAAGTCAAGTCCAAGTCAAGTCCAAGTCGTCTGCTTTGAGCTTCAAGTCATTTCAAGTCTTTAAACCAGCTTAGATTTGTTTCTATCTTTTCATTTTTATATAAATATTAAACTAAATTGTACTTAAAAATCACATTTTTCCTTTTTAAATGTCTTGACAAGATCAGAGTGTGAATCATTACGGCCAGAATAGAAATAATAAAGATTAAAAAGTGTTTAATTATAGTTATTTTGCCGTGTGTCTGCAGTGAAATAGAAGCATCATGTTCTATGTAGTTTCCTCTGTTTTACTGCATTGTACTGCATATTACTGTATATTACTGTATATTACTGTAGTACATTTGAGGATACTGCGTCACAGTACTTCAGTTTCATCCAGAGTTACACATAAAGAAGTGGGAGGGACATGTTCCAGTTTGTTCCTGTAAAACTTGGCACCACATTTATCAACTGTAAAGACAAAAGTATTTTAAAAAAGACATGTTTTTTTAGCCGAAGCATCAAGTTTTCTCAAGTTACAGAGCTCAAGTCCAAGTCAAGTCCCAAGTCAAATACAGGCAAGTCCAAGTCGAGTCTCGAGTCACTGGCCCATAAGTCCAAGTCAAGTCCAAGTCAAGTCCAAGTCGTCTGCTTTGAGCTTCAAGTCATTTCAAGTCTCAAGTACCAAACATAGCTTAGATTTGTTTCTATCTTTTCTTTTCTATATGAATATTAATCTAAATTGTACTTAAAAATCACATTTTTCCTTTTTAAATGACTTGACAAGATAATAGTGTGAATCATTACGGCCAGAATAGAAATAATAAAGATTTAAAAGTGTTTAATTATAGTTATTTTGTCGTATAATCTGCAGTGAAATAGAAGGATCATGTTCTATGGCGTTTCCTGTTTTACTGCATTGTTACTTATATTACTGTATATTACTGTATATTACTGCATATTACTGCATATTACTGCATATTACTGCATATTACTGCATATTACTGCATATAACTGTATATTACTGCATATTACTGTATATTACTGTATATTACTGTAGTACATTTGAGGATACTGCGTCACAGTACTTCAGTTTCATCCAGAGTTACACATAAAGAAGTGGGAGGGACATGTTCCAGTTTGTTCCTGTAAAACTTGGCACCACATTTATCAACTGTAAAGACAAAAGTATTTAAAATAAAATATATATTTTTGGAGAAGCATCAAGTTTTCTCAAGTTACAGAGCTCAAGTCCGAGTCAAATACAGACAAGTCCAAGTCGAGTCTCAAATCACTGGCCCATAAGTCCAAGTCAAGTCCAAGTCGTCTGCTTTGAGCTTCAAGTCACTTCAAGTCTTTAAAACAAAAAAGCACCAAGTACAGCTTCGGTTTGTTTCTATCTTTTATTTCAAGTTACAGAGCTCAAGTCCCGAGTCACTGACCTTCAAGTCCAAGTCGAGTCCCGAGTCTTAGTCCATTGTATCAAGTCAAGTCCTAAAAATAGTGACTCAAGTACCAATATCTCTCTGTTATGGCTTTTGTTTTGGTCTTTTCTGCACAAATCAAACCAAACCGCGCCATAAATCGATCATAAATATAAATTCACGCGTAATTAGCAGCTTGTAAACACACCAAAACCCACAACTCCCCCCCACCCACGGACTCACCTGAAACGGCAGGATGTTGTTGCTGTCCGCTCTGAACTCGTCCATCCAGCACGTCTTGGGTCCGAGGGGTCTGGGGAACTTCGGGGGCGCGATGACGCTCCCGGTGCCGTAGGGTTTTTTCATGGGCGAAATCGGGTTGAGGGGCGACGGCATCCCTCCCACCCCGACTCCCATCCCGACCCCGACCCCGACCCCCACCGCCCTCCTCGGGTCCCTGCCGTGCTGCATCCCGCTCCAGGGGTTGGACGGCGTGGCGCTCCAGTTCTGGTGGTTGTTATTCCAAGACGAGCCCGAGGACGACGAGGACGAAGACGACGACGAGCACGAGCCTTTGGAGACGCTGTGGTAGGACACGTTTCTCTGTGGGAAGCCCGGATTCGGACTCACCGGGGACCGCCTCTGCTGCTGCTGCTGCTGCTGCTGCTGCTGGGACTGCGGAGCCAAGCCGATCTGCGTAAAATTCCCCCCGAACACCGGATTGACGTGAGGGAAATTCTGGAAAAGCAAGTTCCCGTTCACAGAGGGCATGCCCGGGAAGTAGCTGTCCTCCACGGCGCTTCCAGTGGACCACGGGCTCCCGAATGAGGAGTTCGGGGAGGACAGGGATCCGCCGGTGTCCTGCGTTTGGAGCGGCTGGTGCGGGAAGCCCAAGCCGGGGAGGAGAGGCGACTCCATGGGCGATTTCTCTTTCCCACCGCCGGTCGACTCCGCGTCAGACGAGGACGCAGAGGAAGAGGTCGGCTCCAGGGAAGGGGTCGGGGTGGAGGGAGCAGGGTCCGTCTGGTCTTGCTGCTGCTGCTGCTGCTGCTGATGGTGAGTTTTATCCATCAATAAATCATCCTGCATGGTTTGTCGAGCTGGATGAGAGAGATACGAGGAGTTAATGTTGTTATTCACGAGATCATACGCGGGGTTTCTGCTGCTGCTGCTGCTGCTGCTGTAAAATCTGATCAACTGGGACAAGTCCGACAGCGAGATGACGTTGGACGGACCGGGCGACTGCAAAGCGAACGCGTGATCACCCATTGAGAAGAATTTACGAAAGTAGGGGGGGAAAACTACCGACTCGAACTTCTACAAAAGCCAACCATAGACGTGGGAATCCGCAAAACGACACGCGGGGAGAGGACTCGGAGGCATACGGCTTTTCCCCAAAACGGACTCGCCGCCACGTCTCGCTTTTTTCGCTTTTCTCTTCCCTTCCACGCAAGAGCCGAACAGCAAACTGATTCCACTGCCGTACGTGTGTGTGTGTTTTCGGCCAAAGCGCCACCCCTTACTTCATTTGCATACGTCAGTAAATATAGCTGTCCTTCAACGTGGTTAAAGGTGCGTTAACGTACCC